AAAAAGAAAAAGAAAAAGTGTCATGATACTATAGTAAGTATCTCAGACAATCAAGTCATTCAGTGAGTTATTTTGGCTCTCAGTTTTGGAGGTTCCAATCCACGATCCGTTGGTGCTAGTGCTACTTAGGGCGTATGGGAGTCAGTACAGTATAACCAGAGTGCATGGGTAGCACTCCCCACCTCATAGACAGGAAACAGAAGAGGAGGGAGGGGCCAGGGTCTTCTGTCCCCTTGAGGACATACTCATCAGAACGTGTACATCCTCCCAACAGCTGCACCCTGGAAAACAAGCCTTTAACACACAAGCCTTTGGGGGAATTCAAGATTTAAACTCTAGCAGCTAGTATTAGAAAAGGAAGGTTAAAAATCAACCATTTAAGCATTTACCTTTAAAAGTATTAAAAGACCAGAATAAATTCAAAATATTCAAATGAAAAAAATAGTAAATGTAATAATAGAAATGAAAGTGAAAAATAAAGTAAAATGGAAATAGATGCTCAAAATAAAGACATCAAATTCACTAAAAACCCTTCAAAAAAGAAAACCTCAAGAATGTATGGTTAAAATAATAATAATGCAAATTCTATATAATCTCTTCTAGAAATAGAAGTTTAACACTTCCCTAATTGTTTTAATTAGCATCACTAGACATCAAAATCAGTAAAAGACACACACACACAAATAGCATCCAATATTTCTCAGAACCAGATATAAAAATCCTTAACAAAACATGAGCTAATGAAATTCCAGTAACATGGAAACAGGCTACTATATCATGATCAAGGAAAGTTTATCTCACAAATGTAGAAAATTATATAACTATTCATGATAAAAATTCTCAGCATAGTAGGAGTAAAATAAAATTTCCTCAAAGTATAAAAAGAAGTTATCATGTTTAACAAGGAAATATCTTTTCCTAAAGACGACAAGACAGGAGTGCCTGACTTTACCATTTTCACTGTTCTATTAATAGTGAACAGTGGTCCTAATCACCACATGGAGGCACACTTAAAGATTAGAAAAACTCAAGCAGATAAGAAGACTCTGTTTTATCTTTTTAAAATGTAACAAAAACAATGTTGTTTCAGGTAGCTTTTTCATAAAAACAAGTATTTCTTTGAAACATTTACAAAGTAGTTTATAACTACCATTACTACTACTATAAAGTAGTTTGTAAAGTATTTAGGAGAATTACCTATGATCTCAAAATAATTCTCTAATATTGTTATCATATTCGCAAAGCCTGTGACAAGAAAAACTGGTTGAATGAATGAACACTGGCCAATATAGCTTAAATGGCTTGTTGCAAAATGGGGATGAAATAAAAAAAGTTTTACAGTTTTTCTTTTTTTTTTTTTTTTTGCGGGACCGGGGATTGAACATTTGCCAGGCAAGTTTTATAGTTTCACACATATAAATTCCAGAGATTAGTCAAAGGTTGCTGGCAAACACAAAACTTATTTTCTCTTATTACTTTCAATATTCTAACCTCTCTTTTCTAATTATGGGATAAATAATTGTTGTCTTCCTTATTACAAGATGACCATAAATCAGATATTTTTCAAATAATTATATATATACAATGTTTGTTAAATGAACATGTAGTTGACTCCTAGAATACAGTTGCTATATTTGTTGAAATTCTCAATATTATCTTATAAAAGTCATTAGCATGGTAACATTTTTAGTCTCATGGATGAGTACTGTATGGTCATTAAAGAAATTATCAACACAAAGTATATTATATACAATTCACACACACACATATCCTTGTGATATTCTAAGATCATCTAGAAAATTTCAATTATAAGTAGATTATCAACACTGGAATGATAACATGATGATTTCTGGCCCTGTTAGCATTGGTCAGATAATATTAATTCATCTAAAGGAAAATATATGTAGGTATATAAATACACAAACATACCCAATACTATAAACCCACGTATATGTATATATTCATATAGTACAAGAAATAAATAAGTTCCTATAGTATAAGAGATTCACATAATGTTACAACTTTTAAGCCATATTAAAACATTAATCAGGTCACTGGTAGCTAATCTGTACCTTTCATGGTAATGTCAAAATAATATTTAAAAAACATGCCATAATCCTCACATAACATACTCTGGGATTCTTGGGAAGTCACACTACTATTGCAACTGCTTACCAGTTCATCAGAGGTCAAGTGCATCAAACGTTCAGCTATTGCAGCACATTGGGCTGGGTCCCTGATAAATTCCCCTTGTTTATCATTGACTACTACCTCTGGCCATGGCAGTCCTTCATTCTTCTTAATCAAAGAAATCTCCAAGCTAAAAGTTTAAATGAGAAAGGTGATGTTACATCAAGCAACTATACAAATTAAGCACTCAATAAGAAGCAGAAGGTCCTATAGAAATTAACCTCCTCACAACCAGCAGGCAATTTTTCAAACCTTGTTCACTTTAATTTGACATGTGATGAAAACTTAAAATTCAAAGGTAAATAATCTAGACTTAATAAACAAACAGAAAAGTACTACTAGAAATGGTGTACCAAACAGTTTGCAGAGAGAAGTGAGTATGAGCCTTATTGCAGTCTAGTTGCAAAGTATGTTACTAAGTAACAAAAATACAAGTAGCATAGATCTATGCAGCAGTGGAAAAGAGGGAGAAGGGACAGTAAAGCAAGGAAAGGTCCTACAACTAAGAAGTACTACCTCTGGCTGTATGGAGCCAACCATTTATTTTTGTAAGTTAACAGCCATAATGTACAATTAATGAAAAGATCAGGCAGGTTAGGTTAATAGAATTATTAAAACTTAAAATATAGATTTTAAAGAATTGAAAAGATATGTAGGCATTAGAAAAACAACCACTAATAAGGATGCTAATGGAGTCTCTATTAACTTACTTAAAGTCAAATGCTGCATAATTAAGTCATTAATATAAAATTTCAAACGCACTAAAAAGAGCCTGTCAGGGAACCCTGAGGTCAGGGACTGAAGTGGGAGGAAAAGAAAGTGGAGTCAAGGCCGACTATTAGCAAAGAATAAGAAGCCTGGTGACCTGTGTTCCTTAGGAAGAGGAGAGGAAACTCAAATAGAAGCTTAAAGAGCGGCCACCCCTTCACTAGACAGAAAGGAGGACAGTAGCAGCTGTTAACAGCGTAGCAAACGTTCCTAAGCACCACTTTTGTTATAGGTGCACCACATAACCCACGTCCTGGAACACAACTGCAAACAAACAAATGAAAGAGCACAGTAACTATTATTGTAATTATCAAACAGAACACACAAACTTACTGGCCACTTATTTTCAAGGCTGTAGTTATCACCACCTCATGAATCACACTATTTCAAAATTTTCAGAAAGTACTTCAGAGATCATATAAAATAATGCCTCTCTTATATAACAGGAGTTCTTATCATTCGCCCTGAACATTACCACCACCATCACTAATGCTCAGATTAAGTTATATTTCTAAGGAAGATGATCATCTTGGTGATAAGGAAGGTAATAATAACAACAGTTCAGTTCTACTTCCTAATGCTTACCATATGAGGTAGTGTCTTAAGAGTTTAACATGTTTTAACTCATTCATTGCTCACCATAAACAAAATAGGCACTATTATAACACTCATTTTATAATCAAAAAGCAGTAAGAGGTTAAGTAACTTGCCAAGGTCATAAACTAGTAAAGCAGGCTGGCTCCAAGTCCATATTTTGCCTGCCTCTTTAAAAAAATATATGTAAAGAACTTTTACCCAGTTGCCAGATGTATAAACACGTCTTCAGATGCTGAGTAAAGAGTCTGAAAGAGTTTATCTGATCCTAACTACAATTTCCAACTTTGCATACCTAGATAATGTAGTCCTTTTAGCCTGGCTGCATTTCCACATTTTAAAACTAGCATTGAATCCTGCTATCCAAGCAAAACAGAACAGAAACATACACTGTACAAATTAAACTACAAATCAGTTTAACAAATCCTTTCAACGTGATAAAGAATACTGCTTGAAGATCAGAGATATGCATAATTTAATCAAGTACAAAAAATCATTTACTAAAATGAGGTATCATTTACACTTCATGGTAATTATCTTTCGTAACACAAAACAGCATTTAAACACCTCAAATCTACTTGAAAAACAAGACTGGTTTATGTTCATGTACTGAAGACTAAATGCAGTGTGTATTAAGTCCAGCTATTCTAGACTTTGCTGGGTTACTGCTTGATGACTTATACTAAACAATATGTTCTAGTTACTAATTTATGTTCAGAACAGTATGAAGATCAGTATGTTCTTTTGCTAATTTATGAATGCTATCTTGAAACCCCTCACATTCATATATACATGATAAACAGAATATGTGAAGATACAAAATATCTGCCAAAAACCTTTCAGATAATTGTTTTTTAATGTACTAAAAAATGTAACCACTGCACAGTCCTTTGTGGAAGATACTCTGTCTCCTTGCTTTCATAGTAAATCTGTGTCTGTCTCCAGAGCTATAGGCAAATTTTTATAATGAATCAAAAATTAGTGCTGGATGAAGTAGCATTTAATGTGGAGAAGCCATTCTGACCTATGAAGTCACACAGGTACCAAAGCGACAAGCAGCACAAGAAGCTCTTCCATAAACAAAGAAGGGCGTCTTCTAAACAGAATGAACACATTCCATACAATAAACTGAGACAGTTAAGTTGTTCAGAACACTAAATTAACTGTAAATACTTTGTTGTTAGTTCAACTATGATCTAAGATCATATCGAGGTAAGAAAACGTTTCTCAAACTACAATTGAATGCAATGAAGGAAAAAACCGCAAGTAAAAGTGCCAGCTAATGTCTTCAGATCAATTCTATGTTTGATGGGTTCATTTTGCCAGAAATTGCAGCAGTTCTTCCTGTTGTGGAGGTTGCGTAGAGTGACTGACTGATTCTGCCATGGTGCGGGCTGAGCCTACAGCCTCTCCTTGAGGGACACACCCAACCAGGTTTTTCAACTTGAGACAGGCTTCTGCTAAATTATAAGGGCTGGGCTTGATCTCACAACCATCCTGTCTCAGCCTTTTAAATAGCTGCGATTTTAGGTGTGTGTGGAGTGTGCTGGGCCTGCAGTTCATTTGAATCCTGGCTACTGTTTGGAAAAGACAAGACTGTATGTGGACATACAAAGCAGTATTCCCATAAAAAGATGTTTATTTTGTATTTAAAATATCACTGCACTATTCTCTACACATTTATACACCTCAGTGATATTAATGCTGAACTATAATGTTCAGGAATTAAAATGTGATATTATAATTTAAACAAAAATAAGAACTACACCTGATGTAAAAATATTCAATTTATCTAGTAAGCAACATTAATCTAAATCAAAAATTTAGGTTGCACTTTAAATCAACTAAATACCTATTTTTTGCTGAATTTAGGCTATTTAAAAACTTAACTGCCCAAGAGCTGGGATTACAGGTGCGCACCACCATGCCCAGTCTCAGTTGCTATCTCAATGCACCCCTGGGGCAGGGCCGACATGGTAGGCCTGGGATCGAACCAACTGGCCCCTGGACCTGCTTGCAGGCGCTTTAATCTGCTGAGCTATTTGGCCAGCCCTCTTACCCTTTTCTGTGTTCTTACTTTATCTTTGGGAATTTTGAATTTTGATGTGCAAAATATTTTTGGATATATTGCAATTTATCATATATTTTTTGTGTGTCTGTCCTAAGATATACAAATCATAAAAGAAACTTACATAAGACACAAAATTTATTTGACCTGGTTAAAGAACATATTGATTATAAATAATAGAATATGTTACTTATTCTATTTGTAGGAATTTAATCCTTCATATGTATTTCTACACATGTAAAGTGACATATGTATGTAGTTATTCACTGTAGCAAAAGACTACAAATAATCTAAATGTACAACAAAGGAGAACCAATTTTTAAATGATGGTACAGTGCCTGCATGGCAAGTACAAGGTCCTGAGCTCGATTCCCAAAAAGAAAAAACATTAAACAATGGTACAGTCAATAAAGTAAAATATAACAAAGCTAGAAAAAGGGATTTAAAAAGTGTTATATATTTTAATAGAAGGATATAAGATTTATTCTTGAAAATGAACAAATGCTATGTATCAAAATAAATAGAAATACGTGTTATTGAGATACACAAATATCTCTGGAAGCAAAGGAAACAATGGCTGTAGCAAGGAGGAGAACATATGACTGGCAGTCCTGGGTTGAAAGGAGCCTTCTCATTCTATCTTGTGCATTTTAAATATCAAAGTATAGTAATGTACCTGCCTGGCAAGTGTGAGGTCCTGAGTTCAATTCCCGGTTCCTCCTCTCCCAAATTATTTCTATTACAAAACTTTAAAGCACAAATTTAGAATAGCTATTTTAACCTTTTGTTATTACCACATCCAGAACCAGCAATGAAAAGCACTGCCATACTGTATACAAGTAATAGCTACATAGAATTGTTTCTTTAACCTTAACTATAACTATGTTCCTTCATGTAATAACTTCATTTTTAACCTATCTTAAGAAAAATAAGCAATACAAACAGAAGTAATATACTCACCCTTGATGAAGTTACTATAGAAAGCAAACATTTTAAAAATAAAAAATAACAAAAGATAATTTCAAATATAAAACTATAAAAAAAAAATACCTATTATTCTCTTTAATTATCCAGGTACTGCTTTCATGATCAATAGATGAGTAGAGCTTTCCTTCCAAAACCTGGAGATTCTTCAGCACAATGCTGATGTGATCTGGTAAAAACGCTACCTGAATGTCCTCCTTGGTAATGTCTTCTGGAAGTTGTATTGTTACTGTCAAATCATCTTCGGTTTGTTGCCAATAATACAAAGGTTTCACTGGGAAAGGAAAAATACATTATATAATAACAAAAATGAGATGATATTGTATAAAATTAGAGATTACAAATATTAAAAAAAACCTATCCAGAAAAATCTCAGTCCACTTTCTAATGCTCATTGCTGCAAGAAATAAATGAACACACAGACTTCTTTGGGGAATTTCCACCTAAAGAGCTGCAGCAATTGCATTTGACATTTTTCTTTCAGGTTTCCTATGATGCAGAAGAACTGATAAAATAATCAGGAGCGATTCTTTATTTCCACTCCTTCCCTCTCTGCCTCCTCATATTCTGCCTCTCCTTTCTCTCCTTACAAAACATCACCAGCAAAGTAGATTCCTTATTGAAAATACAACATATGTTTCTACCATAACTTAGCAAAGCAGTTTATATATAACAATCACTCAACTGACAACTTCTGTCAGACAACAGGGACTGGGAGAATCTGTAAAATCACATGAGTATAAAAGCCAAGGAAGCAGACTCTGCAGGGGAAAGCAAGGATTTTTTTAGTTGCCTCAATGAAGTATAACATCAGTTGCTTTGAATATCTGTTTGTGCTGTTAGAGTTTGCTTTAGGTCTCCAAAAGAAAATATTCTTTGTATTATATCCAATAGGTCAATAAGTACAACTTTATATAAAGAGGTGCATGTACTTATAAACCTGGGGATAGTTAAAAATATTTACTACTTTAATATTTTTAATACCTTTAAATGAGTCATTTTTTTTTAAGCTATAAAAGTAGTGAAACTAATTTTTTTTTTTTTTTTTTTGTGGTACTGGGAATTGAACTCAGGCCCTACTGAGCCATCTCCCTGGCCGCACATGAAACTAATTTTTAAGTAATTATCATTAAAGAAAAAGGAGATCCAAAGATTTGGATGTATAGTTACTAAATATTGTAAAACTTTCTAATAAAATATTCTCTCGCTACATATGATGAACATCAGAAATATAAACAGTGGGGTATGGAGTTTCTGAGGTGAGTGTGCTGTAGTGTTTCTCAGGTGAAACATGGCTAAAAATTTATGAAGTGAAAAAGAAAAACGTGTGCTGAAAAGAAAAAAAAAAAAAGAATGCCCCAAGGAGCTCAACAGACTTAAAAGTATTTTCAAAGTAGACTGCGATGTTTTAATGAAAGATGCTCAAGAGATAGCAACTGCTGTGGTACCCAAACAGCGCCAAGAGAAAATGGAATGTATGGTGAACAATGATGAAAAAAACTCAGATAACATGGAAATGGAGACTGAGATAAAGAGAAACAAAAAGACTCTTCTAGATCAGAATGGATGGACCAGAAACAGAAAAAGGTTGAAGGCAAAAGAGAAAGGGGAACAGCAAAGCAAGAGCAGCAAAGCAGCACAGGGTTTGCCCTGGTAGACCTTGCCCATGAACAGCTTGCCACGTGGTACAGGCATGTGATTAGAAAGTACATATTGCTTTCAGTTCTGTTCCTTTTTTTTTTTTTTTTTCAGATAGGGCCTTGCTGTGCAGTTTGGGCTGGCCTTGTGCTCACTTGTGTAGCCCCCAAGCCAGTCTTGAACTCTCAGCAACCCTCCTGTCTCAACCTTCCAAGTTATTTCTGTTCATATTTCTTTTTGTATTTTAGGTAAGGGTCTATAGGGTTTTCTGGGTCTCACTTCGAGATCAAACTCCTAGTGATCCACCTGCTTACAGCCTCCCAAGAGCTGGGATGACAGGTGCCTGCTACCATACCCAGTCTCAATTACCATCTCAGTGTACCCCGGGGGCAGGGCTGGCACAGCTGCCTGGGGATTGAGCCCCTGGCCCTGTGCCTGCTTGCAGGTGCTTTAATCCGTTGAGCTATCTGGCCGGCCTTCTGTTCGTATTTTAACATGGCCTTTTTCTTTACTTCAAACTCAAAATAATTCATTTATTTTAGGAAATGAATGAAGTATTTGAATACAGTATTTTCATTGATAAAAGCTGTATCGATGTTTTAGATGGAAATTGACCAATACTCAGGTCTTATCAGACATCAAAATCCTGTCAAGTATTAACCTAGTTGTAACTGTTCTTACAAGTTGGTAATTATATTCAGTAAAGTAAATGATGTACTGACAAAAATTTGAGTGAACTTATTTTTTAAAAGCTCATTTTTTATAGTCACAATTTTAAAATACAACAGTAGATCTCATAAGCAGTACTTGTTTGGAATTTTGATTTTGTATAATTTGGAATAAAAGACAGTGAATAAAAATAAATATAAACAGTAGTATGATCTCATTATCTTTAAAGGAGTATGTATCTTTCATATATAAATATAAATATAAATTTCTAAATACATTGCTAATCTCATTCTAAAACATGACCTTTATTCATTCAACATTAAGACAAATTACTGATACTGCCCTCCAGGAACAAACTTTCAGTTTAGTAAGAACATGGACAATATTTAGTTTATCTCAAAAGACTGCCACCTTCACTACTATCCTTTTTATTTATTTGATAAGTGTCTATTAAACACCTAATCAAGGAAGCTAATATACCAACTTTTTTAGGGGCGGGAAAGATAGGGATGAGAAAAGAAGATGTGCTAGGTACATGCACTAACTCCCCACAACAAAAGTAATGATTATGTACTCTAAAACTTACTAAAAAAAACCCCTTTATAATTATATTCTTTTTTCCTCCTGGTACTCTGCTGGGAATTGAATGCAGGGACTTCACATTGATCCATAGTCCCAGCCCTTTTGAGACAGGATCTCATTTGCTAAGTTGCCCAGCTTGGGCTCCAACTAGCAATCCTCTTGCCTCAGCCTCTTAAGAGTACTGGAATTATAGGCATGTACTACCATATCCAGCTTATTACACAACTAATAAATTATGACATTTTACACTGTGTGATTTATTTTACAAAAAGATTTCTTTGGAAGAAATTAACAAAAATACTATTAAATACTAAGCATCTACTAAATACCAAGAAAAACTAAACATCTATCCTCCCTTGGCACAACCCACCATCTAACTAGGAAGACAAAACAGACACAAACTAATGTGCATAAATACACATTCTAGCTGTGAACGTTAAACACAGTATTACCTTTGTTTTTCTCTGACACGTCTTTATCCGTATTTTCTTCAAATTCTTGACTAACAGGAATGAATTTGAAGGACTTGTAGGAAATAATCATCAGACCATTCCCATTGGGCTCAATAGCGGCGTAATGTGGTACTGACTTTCCACGAAGAATATCACGCTTAGTGATTTCATACTTTACATTATCTATAAGAAAAGTGTTTTAGAACAAAACATTACAATTAATGAATATTAATATTCTAATGTATTATTAAAGGTCCTATTATCAAACATCTTTTCTTAAGGATAAAAATTTTATAATCTGATTTTCCATAAATAAAGTCCCTACTTTAAAATATTTGGTCTCATAAAATTTACTGCCCAATGTGGTACCTGCTGGAGCAAGTGATTATTTAAAATTAAGTAAAGTTTGAAATTCGTTTTCTCAGGCATACTCATCACATTTTAAGCGCTCAGTAGCCACATATAGTTAGTAGCTACCACACGTAGTGAGAAACACATATAAAAGTGTCCATTTCACTCAAGTTTTCAGTGGATGGCAGAACTCTGGATATCTGAAGTGACTGACTTACCTAAAGTATTTGCTTCATACTAGTATTTACAAGTTTTGAAACATAATTAACTATATCCCAAAATTTGCTACATTAACTAGATTTATTATACTGTGAAGATAGGATATTTTTTTGTTTTAATACTTTCAATTCAGTCTGTATCTTTTACTATTTTTATGTAAAGTGGGTTACATTTATAAGCTTCGAACTGAGTAAAGTCAACCGAGTACTACATTGTTATGAAATAAATATGGTTTGCTCTAAAACATGTCATTGTTTATATTCTTAATTTTCCAGCTGCATTCACACATTCAATTCACACATGTTTAAGAACAAGCTTGTAATTTCATGTCTGAACTACTTTTTTTTTTTTTTTTCTTGGCAGAACCGGGGATTGAACTCAGGCCCTTGTACTTTCCAGGCAAGTGCTTATTCTACTGAGCCATCTTCCTGGCTTTCATGTGTGAAGTAAAAACTGTACTTTCTCCACAGATATCTGCAGGACACACAGTCCTACTACCTGTAAAGACCCAGCCTTAGGCATTACATAGGTGATAGAAGGGCTTTTCCCAACATATATGGGATAGACAGTAATAGGTCTCAAACAGTGGACTCATGCTTAAGTAAGCTGGGAAATGCTGGTTAAAATTAAATTTTCTTTTGCACTTAAATGTTTCAGAAACTATAATATGCTTAAAACATAAAAGTGGCATTTACTATATGTCTATATTTTCAATTTCAAATGACTACAAGATACAATTAATTCAGTGTTTCATTCACCATCATTTAGGAAGGGGTTTAGTTTAGTGCAAAGGCCCTAGGCTCAACCCCTAGTACTGGAAAAACAAAAGATAACAATTGTATTAGTAACTATTAAGAGGGAAAAGGAACAAGACCTTAATAATGATAAAGGGAACCAAAGAGAATCAATGTTTCTACAATTATCATCTTGGGAGAAAAAGCAAGATGAATTTCAATACATCTGCTTAGCTGAAGTAGAGAAACAAACATGAGGTGACTAAGTAGACTGATGCTGTGTTCAAGGCAACACACGTACTTACAGACAGAAAAATAATCAGTAACCTGAATAAATGTGATGAGATACTGTGTACTGAGCATTTATAGAACCAAATGTCTTGGGAAGAGAGAGGTGGAATACCTATGGTGATTTCTCCTATTACTGATTTATGCTTTTAATAAAAAAAGTTCAACCTTCTGCTTTCTAAAGTAGGAGCCTGAAAACCATGGCCCACAAGCCAAAATTGAATCTAGATCTATTTTTGTATTGCCTGTGAGTTACAAATTTTATTTTTAAATAGTTAAAAGTCAAAAGAATATCTAATTACGCATAAAATTCATGCAATGTTTAAATGTCACTGTTCATAGACAAACTGCTACTGGAACACAGCCACGCTCATTCTTGGATGGACCACCAATGGCTGCTTCTATACCACAAAGGCAAAGTTAAATGGCAGTGACACAGATTGTATGTTTACCATCTGGTCCTTTGCAGAAAACCTTTCTATTCCTCCACAGATGGAACTAAGTTCTAGGAAGAACAAATAAATCAACTGAATACCTCAAAAAACAAATCTAAGAGATTTATTCAGCTGACTAAAGTTTTGTATCTATAACTATAAAGGTATATTTTGGTGGTGTGATTGTATATTTCAAGAATTAAATGAAAAGATGTCTTAGAAAAAACACTGATATCTTTTCTTAAATTGTAAACTAGCAGTATGGCAAGAAAATACTTTTCTGTAGTGATGAAGTTTATTTATCAAGGACTAAACTAATAAATGCTACTAAGAAAAAGCAGAGTCACTGAAAAAAGCTCAATTGGCTCTTAACTATAAAAAAAAAACCCAAAACGTGGTGAGTCATTAAGAACTAAAGAAAGACCAACGGCCTGTCCTCACCATTAAAGAAAGCCTAATTAATACCCAAGAAAGCAATTTCTAATGTCAAGTTAAAAGCATGACAGGTTCAAGGAGACCTACTTTCAGGACTTCTTTACAAATGGAATCACACTGGTTGAGAAAAGGAATAGTTTTATGGAGGGTAGAAGCAAAACGCAAAACTCAATGGTATTCATTTCCACCTCAGTACTATTTACTTATATTTTAACTATACCACAGTTTATCATTCACTTACACTTCATTTATATATACATATAATTCTTATGTGCATATTCTTGGCTATACTAAAAACATATATATTAAAGTCTTCAAAAATTATGCAATGTTTCCATTTGTACAAAAGGCATAACTGGCCATGGAAACACATTATAGTTTTATATAACTCAGACCTTAGCACAAACTATAGATATTCATCCTACTCAGCATAGCAGGTGCTAGAATCACAAAACAATGCCTAAGAAAAACCAGAAAGCACTTACAGGGACACCCCTATATTTTAAAATCTACTAAACAATGACATCACTAGAAATTCAAAATTTCATTTTATTTTACCTTTATTTTTCTTACTGACAGTGACCCATTCCAAAGAAACATAGAAACCACTTCCTTTCATATCCAATTCCTCTTTCTCTATTCGAAGAAGTAGGGTAGCTATTGAATGTCCTTCAGCTTTTAGCAAAGAGATACTGTGAATTATGATAAAAGGATTCCCAAGCTCTTCATTGAACACAATCTACAAAACAATTAGATGTGCAAACATGTACATTTATATGAACAGAAAGTATGGGAAGAATACATAAAATCCTGACAAAACTATTTTGAATATTACTTATTAGAAAGAATTCAGAATTAAAAAGTAAAAACTGTTTAAATATAGACTGCATTTAAATAAATACTCCTTGAGGAAAGAACTTAATAAGAATATGTTTTTTTGTTTTTTGTTTTTTTGCGGTACCGGGAATTGAACTCAGGACCCTGAGCTTGCCAAACAAACGCTTATTCTACTGAGCTATCTCCCCAGCCCAAGAATATGCATTTGTAAAGCAGAAAAAAAACTGACCAGTAATCCTGATTTAAAAATAAGGAAAGTTTGGGGCTGGGGAGATGGCTCAGTGGAATAAGTGCTTCCCTGGCAAGTGCAAGGGCCTGAGTTCAATCTCTGGTTCCGCAAAAAAAAAAGAAAAGAAAATTACAAGGCATCCAAACAGCATCTAAAGGAGAAAGAGGACTTACAAGTAATCTTCTAGAAAAGAACTATGAAAAAAGTGCACTACACAAAAAGAAAGGAGACTGGCAGGTCAGGTCCACACCTTCATCTTTCCCCATCTCATGCATACACGACTTAGGCTTGCTTTCTTCATCTGTGCATCTAGACACTGTATGCAGGTGTACATGCTTTGGAAGTAAGCTTTAAACCTACTGCTTTCATTTTCTAGAAGTTTTCAGAGAATAAAAGACATCAGAAAACAAATCACTGACACTTTAATATCAAAACCAAAAGCCTATTTGTATTAAAAAGATAATTCAATGAATTTCAAAATATAATCTCCAAGTTGTTCATCCCAAGCAAATCTAAAGACAGAATCCTACTGAATTATTTTTATACCATAAACACAAGGTCTAAAGAACCATTATACTTTTATTAAAATATTAATTAAGAGTTTTAAGACTGATTCATAAACATGACTTCTAAACAAAAGAGAACTAAACAGCTGGAAAGAAAACCTAAAATAAAAAGTCAGCACTTTTCCTAATGTTTATAGGGAGCTCGCTCTCATATATCTTTCTACTGGAAAGCCTTATCAAGAAAAATGAGCTATTCATCATTTTCTCTGTGTTTAAGCACCTCTGTCCAAATCATTTAAACTGTAGGCCTTTGGAATTGACTCTCAATGTGCACTCTCTCTCTCTCACTCTCTCTCTCTCTCCCCCCCCCCACCACTACCTTTAAATACTTAGAAAGCAAGATCGCAGATAAAACCAGTTTTGTACAGGCTGAGTTTTGCTTTTATTTGGGGAGTAGATACTAAAAGTGAGAGAGAAAAATGACACATTTTGGCAGATACAAGAGTGAGTTTAGTGTCTTATTTTTCCTCTTTCCATGAGTGGCAAGAAATGGAATGAGGCTAGAGGAGTGGATGACCAGACTTTAAAAACCATTAGACATCTTAAACGCTTGCTTGCTTTCTGTCTGTCTGTCTGGCTTGCTTTCTTTCTCTTTTCTCCTTCCTTCCTTCCTTCCTTCCTTCCTTCCTTCGTTTTCTTTCGTCATAAAAACAGGGAGACAATCTTTTGTAAAGGAACAGGGGTCTAGAGGCTCCAGTCTCAATAGGCCCAGCATCTCAACGTGACAATGTTGCTATTTAGCTCCTCCATTAGATTAGGGGCAACACATCTGCAAAATGGACAGTCTCAACAGCAAGAGAGAAAACTGTTTCTAATTTAAACCATTAGAAATTTTTTTTTTTTTTTTTGGTACCAGGGATGGCACTCAGGACCTTGCACTTCCCAGGCAGGTGCTTAGACTGCTATCTCCCCGGCCCTTACATTTTAAACGGATTTAAAAATTATTGGAAGCCTAATATATGCTAAGGGAACACACAACAGAAACCAAACAATTATGAATCCTTATGCACCTCCTTCTGACTCTAAGAGCTATGACTCTGCGTGGTCAGCTATTTTAAAGAGGATATGCGCTGGCCAAATAGGTCAGGGGACCAAAGCACTTGCTTAGGCAAAGCGCAGAAGCAGGGGTTTGATCCCTGGCGTGCCCAGCCGGCCCTGCCCCCAGGGACCTGAGACTAGGCATGGTGGCACATGCCTGTAATCCCAGCACTTGGGAGGATGAAAACAGGAAGATCACTATGAGTCCAATCTACATAGTGAGACCTTGTAGACTCTGTACTAAATACAGAAAAGAGGACAGTAAACTAAGTCAGCTAGTTTTCTTTGGCACAAAACAAACAGAATCCTCAGAGCTCTGTAATATATTCTTTTTTTTTTTTTAATTTAGTACAGGGTCTACACTATATAGATCTCACTGCACAGATCAGCCTCCTAGTGATTTTCCTGTTTTTAGCCTCCCAAGCACTAGCTAGTATTACAGGCGCGCCATCATGCCCAGTCTCAATCACTGTCTCAGTGTGCACTGGGGGCAGGGCTGACAGCACGCTGGGGATTGAATCCTGGTCCCTGCTTCTGCCTAAGCAGGCACTTTAATCTGTTGAGCTACCTGGCCAGCTCTAATATACTCTTATTTATATTGCTCATATACATCATTCTTAAAATGCCTTACTACTACTCTAATATCTAAACTGGAAACACATCATAATGTCTCAATTCTTTTTTAAAGTAAATACTGGAGACCAGCAACTGTGAATTCAAGAGTCTCATTCTCTTTTTGGTTTGCTTGTTTTGGTACCAGGAATCAAACTCAGAACCTTGCTTGCACTTGCCAGGCAGGCATTGTGTCACTAAGCTCCAGCCCCAAGAACCTCTCTTAAACAAGCAATTAGTAAAACAAATTAAGTGCTCCTCATTTTTTTTAAATAATTAAGGCCTAGTACTTAACATCTTTTGATTTAATAAAAATATTTTATAATAGCTAAAAATATTAAACATAGCTATTTAACTAAAACTAAAAATTAATGCTGACACTTAGACTGTATTACAATGTCAATATTAATAAAAATCAAAAAAGCTGAAACATTAAATCATTTGAGCTGGAGAGATAGCTCAGCAGCTTACGAGCTTGCCTTGCAAGCACAACATCCCACGTTTGATTGCTGGTACTGCAAAAAAAAATCATTTGATAACTTGTTATTATTTCCTTCTACTTTCAAAAACAGGCTCTAGAAAACCTAATTCCTTATTATTAGTATCAAAATCCTTACTATTGTTCAGTTTTTACACTATGATGTATTTTTCTAGCTAGGGAGTATTTGGAGCAGTGTTAGTGTATCAGCAAACCTAACATGAGTGTAGAGGAGAAAAAGACAGCAAGCTCAGCTTTGTTCAACTCTGCTTCCAGAAGAAGGGGCCATGACGCTGCCCATGGCAGTTACCTACACATGCAATACACAGGATGTGTCTGCAGAAAAACAGACGTGACTCTGCCGTCCAATGACTGCAGTCCCAGCTGCGATTGTAACTATGAGAAACTCCCCCAGTCAGGCCACCCACTTACACCACTCCAATTTCTGAAAGAACACATGTGAGATGAGAAATATTTATTGTTTAAAACACTAAGTTCTAAGTTTCTTACACAGCAATAGATAATAATATGAAGTAACCTGGTTTTCTTTATGTTAATTGTAGAGTTAATGATCAGTATTTTAATTCTCTAATTATAATAACTGCACTGACCCTGGGCCAAAATAGGAGAAGCTAACACCCACTGTCTAAAAGGTATGTTTCTATAATGCAATTAAATAGACATCTAGAATAATAGATCAGAAAAATCAAAAGGGTATATATAGACTGTGCTTGAAAAGTGTTATTAAAATAAATAAAGTCTGGGCCAGGCATGGTGGTACATACCTGTAATCCCAGTCCTCAGAAGGCTGAGGTAGAAGGATTGTGAGTTCAAGGCCAGTCTGGGCTACAAAGTGAGTTGAAGGTCAACCTGAACTGCATAGTGGAACCCTGTATCCAAAAAGACTAAATAAATAGTCTAATTTACATATGCTTTCTGGACTTTGCATAATCTTGAAGAAAAGAGCACCACTTACCTCCCATTTCTCAGAAGCACTATTTCCACGTTCACCTGTTCCAATGACATACAATCTCCCAGTTCCATCTGACAAGGTAACCCAGGTGGATGATGTGAAATGCATAGATGCACAAAGGCGATTATCATATGTTGTCAAATCTGTAGGAAGTCGGAATACCTCTCGTGGTTTTCCTAATGCAGTATCCTAAAAAGAAACTAAACATTGTAAGTGAATCACTTCCTCTTCCAGGAATTATATACACTCAAAACATAGTGGATCAGTTCTTCTTTTATTCAAGAGTTAGAACTAATTCCTCTTCCTCTGAGCTCTACTACTAACTCACTCCTAGCAAATTAAATTTGGTAGACAGGATAGATGGCATGTAATGTCTAGGCCTACAGATTATCAAACACCTTTTTATCCTCTGCTTTATTCTCTTTCTTGAATTCCATATTCTAAGGGAAAGGAGCTACCATGTTGTAAGGATGCAGAAGTGGCTCTGGGAAGAACCCATATGTGGAGGAACTCTGGGCCCTGCTCATTAACCAGCACTGTATGAATAAAACCTTTTTGAAATGTATCCTGTGGTTCTAATCAAATCATCAAATGACTGCAGCCCCAGTGGTGATCACAGCCCTATGAGAAATCCTCAGCCAGACAACACATTTGAACCACTCCCTCATTTCTGACCACAAACCCAGTGAGATCAGAAATTCTTCTTGCTTAAAGACACTAAGTTCTAAAGTTGCTACATAGTAATGGATAATCTATGAAGCAATCTGGTTTTCTTTCAACTGTAGAGTTAATGGTCATTATTTTAAATCACTGATCATAAATATCACATCATGTTCTAAAAGACTACACAGACATCAGCTTGTAGAATGAAATAAGACTACTACAATCTCAGGTATTTGTTTGCAAGTTTTTACTTGTGGTGTGCCTTTACAATTTAAAGCTATGAAGTGGATTGCAAAATTACAATGTTTTAGAGGGAAACATCAAAATGTTTACTCATCAGGAAATAAGCTTCCTTACTAAACCAGATTGAGAGCAATGTAACAATTATTGTGTGTGTGTGTGTGCGCGCGTGTGTTTCAAGTTTTACTTGTCAGTTAAGATTTTCTTATAGAAGTTATACTTGATTCTTATAGTTCATATCTTGCTCCTAAAATTATTTAATATATATATTTACATGTAAGTGAAATGTAATAAATATACAATATCTTCACAATCACAAGTTTTTAGTGACCTACAGTTTCTTTTCTTTTCCTTTTTTACAGTTTCTTTTTAAAGTATCCAATTTAGGTTTTTCATAACACCCTTCTTTCCCTGACTGATTTGCATAATACTGAAGTGAATCCAGTCAGTTATTAAGCAGAGGTCAATTAAGAAAAATTTTGCCAGAGGCTGATGACTGAATCAGCATTGAGAACACAGGCTGTGGTATTTCTAATTACTGAGAAGAAATGGACTAGTCAACAAATGGTACTGGGACACTCAAGAATCTTTGAGGAAAAAGTTACATTTAATATCTTCCTCCTACATATTCAGAAATTCAGTATCAGATAATATCTAAATGTGTTAAAAGTAAACATATTTTTAGAGGGTAAGTATTTTTATCATTTCATATCGGTAAGATTTTTCTACTATTAAAAAAATTAGATACTAAAGAGAAAAATATCATCAACACATGACTAACATCTATAATATATAGATGAGTCCTTAAAACAATAGGCAGTTATCTAAAATGTTTAATCAGGAAGAGAACACCAAAAGAAAAATTATGGTTACTTTTTTAAAAAGGCCAAACTTACTAGTAATAAATAAAAAATAAAGCCCTCATCAGCCAGAAAAAAAAAATCAACACTGGTAATGTTTTTTCTTAAGTATCACAAGTACCCTGGTGATAGGAGTGCAAATATGTATAATCCTTTAAGAGGATAATACATGAAGTTTTATGAGGAAGTCTTAAATATACTTTGATTCAATTCCCCTTGCAGGAATTTGTCAGAACACTGACATATATACAAAAAATTCCACGTCACAGAAATGCTCATTTCAACAATGCAAAAAAATGTAAGCTTGTACTTACAAAAACTAGATGATCATGTTGTTTCATCAGCTGACTAAAGAGGAAAATGGCAGGCCTGACAGGATGAAGGCTGCCTCACAGTATTTGCCAAGTCTGGCTTTTATTGTAAACTAGCCTGGCAGTAACAGGACTGTTTTACTCAACGTAAGCAATTTACAGAACATATTGCATGACCATGAGAGAACAAGATAAAAATTCTACGACTCCATAATGATCTCTGAACACAGATAAACTGTGAACACCTCACAATACAATTATGACTCTAAATCCAGGCCAATACGAGCAACTCCAGCTTCCCTGCTAATTAGTCTAAACCTCAGTCTTGCCTTCAGTCCCAGATAATGCTAAGATCTACACATTAAAGAATTACCGAGCCGTTTTTTTTTTTTTTTACTGTATCCTCTCAAATTCTACTTTCTTAAACCCATCCCCAAATCCCCTAACACAAGCCCCATTCCTTACTATCACTGCTTCCAAGGCCTTTTTCTGAGATACCCTGTGTGCTCCTTTGTGGTGTATATTCTCCCTGCTGCAAAAGTAATAATACCAGCTCATCCAAACACAGAGGTGTGCCTGGTGTCTCTGTCTGGAACATACACTCTATACCAAACTGTTAAATACACTTCAGTAGGCTTATATTGCTCATAGAAAAATAAAAACCAAAAAAGACCAACAAGACACTAACAAAAAAATAAATAATGATGCAGAACATATTCAACATAGGCTGAAATAAACACTGTGGTAGTCTGCACACAGTAAGGTATAGAGAGATGCATGTTGACTTGTTAATATTCATCACTTTGAAAGAAAAACTGGAGTATGGCTGGTGCTAGAGATTGAGAGTAAAAGCACTTTTTCTCCTCTGTTTCAAATACAGACTTTTACACTGAGCAATTTATGACTGATATGTGTGTGTATATTAACATGACAAAGGTCTCTTCAAAACAGTTGTTTCAAAAAAATTCTCCGGTGGTCTGTTACATGCTGCTCACTGTATTTAATCTAGAGAACCACTATTAAAAGGAATGCACAGAGAAACTTGCCACATCACTGTTCTCCAGTCCTTACACAATATACATGTTTAATCCATTTTTTGTTAAATACATGGTTGCCATAACTGAGGTTGGCAGAAAGATAATTATTCAGCTAATTTTGTATAATATTCAGTAGAATAATTAAGAAACTAAAGTGTATAAATGTGAAACCAAAATTAATTTAAAACACAAAAAGTAAACACATAGCACCACTCTTACTTGAGTTAAATGATAATTACAGTGAAAGCAATCTACTGCTCCTGGTGTTTGAAATTTAATTCTGAAAGAATACATTATAATTTTAATTGCACAGTAAGCAATGAAATCTTTTCTTTTGTAAATCTGCACTAGAGCATTACATTATTTCTGAATAACCTCCATTGGTGATTTTACTGTGTTCTCATAATAACATCTTGGATGTACCACTGGATCTATAGTATCCAAGTTTCAAGCATTTTCTTTTTCCTCACAAAAAGGGCTATGTTTAAGGATATTAAAAAATATTGTGAGGTAATATTTCACAAAGATTTCATTGACAAGTGGAGGAACATTATGATGATTATAATATATAAGCATATTAAGCACTTTGCCTTTTGCCATCTCATTTAATTATTACTTGCAACTGGATTTATTACTTTTACTTTAAGACAGAAAAGTTCAAAATGAAAAATTTGACTGTAGCTCCACTGTTAGAAGATGCAGGGTCAAAATTCCAATCTTGGACATCCTTACTCTAGAAGTCAGTACTTTTTCCTTCTATTTCATATTTTCTACAGAAAAACATATTTCCCACATCTTTCATAACAATTGAAACTTTGGGTCTCAATGCAACTTTACAATACCAACTTTGACTGCAACTATCATACTTCATCAGGCTATTACATAGTATTTTCACTTAAAATTACTGAGACAACCAGATATAATAAAAGGCTATAATGTTTACATACTACATACATACGACATTATAAGTAAGCAGTACATAAGTCATATATACTTATGTCAAGAACTGGGGACCCTCACAGTTGCAGTTACAAGCACAGAAGCTTTGAACTAACAAAGTATTTTTCTAACACATACACATACATAAAAGAGCTCATTCATGCTTTAAAAAGTGCTCAGGAAAAGTAATTAGAAATGCCATTTACCAATATTATTACATACTGGAATTTAAAATTTTGCCTTTTTAAAAAGAAGTGGTCTTTTTCTGAAGAAAAGCTTTCATCACTAATAATTATTATCTTCATTTAGAAGATAAGTCTCTTTTTTCTTCTTTTTGGCCAAAGCTTTAGTAATAAATATTTTAATCAATTATAGTTTGAGGACTGTCTTTATGTACAATGAATCTTTCAATGATATATCAAACACACATAAGACTGAGGATTAAAGCCAGGGCCTTCGCATTAAACTATAACCCTAGTCCTTTAAAAAGTTTTGTTTTTGAGACAGGGTCTCACAGTACCACTAAGTTACCCATCCTGAGCTTGAACTTGCAATCCTCTTGATTTAGTCTCCCAAACTGCTGAGATTATAGGTATGCACTAGCCACTGCCAGGTTTATTTTTTCTTTAATCAGTAAATAACTAGCTCCTTGTTAATTAACTTGTTATAAGTAAGCAGAGATTTAGGTCTAGAGATGAATGTATTGGCATACAAAGAGCTTAACTAAAAAGTAGTTGTAAACTGTCACTCCAAACAGAGCTTCACAAACACGTGCTTACAAATGAAATTTTGTTAACAGGCCCTGAATCTTAAGAAGACATCACAAGAAAACATTCTACTTAGTAGCAAAAACAAGATAGCTTTAGAAGTAAATTGAAAACAAAACAAAACAAAAACAACAGCAAAGACACAATAGCCTACATATTAACAAATGAAATATACTACCCTACAATGAGCCATTAAGTAATATAATCAGAACCTCTTGTTTTCCTAAGGCATTTTCTACGACAGGCAAATTTCCTCCAAACTGACATTCTCAAACGTTAAAGACTGTAATCCCATGAATTAAACAGGGAAGTATCATCCTATAAAGCTGCTGAACTGCTGCCACCTGCTGGCTCTAAGATAAAGTCAGATAA